GGTTTTCCAGTGTTGTAATTTCACTTTCTCTGCCCACTTGCTGTGATCTGTCGGTACTGTTCTCCCCAAGGAAGCTTGAAACTCAGCCATCCCACGTTGTTCGTTCCTTCAGCACTGCTCTCTTCTGGGCTCTGGAGATGATTGTATTCAGTTGTGAATGGCATAGCTTCAGCAAATTGGTGGCTGAGCTTCAGACCAAGGAGCCTGGCCTGACCCTAATTTTGCTGTACACACTGGCTGGATTTCATGTGTGACCAGAAGAAAGAGTCCTCCGCAGGTGATGCTCTGTTTGCTAGTAGAGCCATCTTCCACCATTGCTGCCCTCCTCATCTGTCTCCAAAGCTGCATGGGAGATGCAACGGAGGCACTGGGGGAACCAGTCTGACCAGTGGTTTCAGTTCTGTGCCATTGGTGTAGGGTGGTTGGATGAAGTAGGACCATGGACATGCTGAGCTGTTAGGCACAGTTCTTTGGCATTGCTAGCAAGTCACCCCATTGCGCAAGTCGAGATCTTGTAGCCTTCAGACAAATTCTCTGCAGTCTGTACACCAGTCCTTCAGAGGCTGTAAGAAGAGATGAAGGTACTGTCTGTGTACCTGTGGGACTACTGGAGAAAAGAGGACTGGGACTGTGTTGCTCCAGTTCCATGTATGTGAAGGTATTCTTCAAACCATGGTGTTCCTCTGAATGCTCAACTGGAGCGAGTCTGCAGTTGAAGCTCTTCCATCTTCATCAAAACAGCGCTGGCACCTCTTAAAGTTAGCGCTGATCATTTATTCCCTTTTCGCCTCAGCCCTTGGGTGCTTTCCCTGGGACGTGAGTGGGATATGGCTCTGCACAGATCTCCCTGATGGTTCCAGGTGATGCAGGGGTGCTCAGTAGAGTGCTCTGGTGCTGCAGGTTTGCTTCCCTCACACCTGGGTACATCTGTCATCTCTTCTGGAAAGCATCAGAAGACACGAAGGATCATAGTTGCGAAAGTCCAGTGGTGCTGTGTGTTTTTCATTTTGTTTTTGAGAGGACCTGCAGACTCTTTTCCAGGTTTCTGTGCTATGAAATCCTGCAGATGACAGTTGCAAAAACTTTTGAGGTACATTGTACACTGAGTACCTGCTCAGGTTTCTAACTTGTGGGGCAGTGGCAAAGCAGCAGTATTGCTTTTAATTAATACCTGCAGAGTTAAGTCACAGATGGGAGCAGCCAGCCCAGCTGGGAAGTTAACTTTCTTGGCAGAGGTGGATATGGAGAGTCAGTGTGTGTGAGGTGCAGAGTTTCTAAGAACCCATCAGACTGATCCTGCAGCTTCATGCCACCAAGCTGGGCTGAGGCACGCAGCCCAGTGCAAGGATGGATGGAGCACCCAGCGCTGGGACTGGCCAGGTGTGGGAGCTCTGGGTTTGAAACCTTTGAGAGATCTGTTCTGCCTGAGCACATCCTTTGGAAAATGGTTGTTCTGGTAGACCACCACCCGTGCTAATATTTTATGCCTCATTTCAGCTGGTTCCAGCTTCCAGCTATGAGCTCTTACTCTTCTGTGCCAAATTAAGGAAAGACAGCGTTTTCTCCCTGCTCCTTTGGTCAGAGCACAGCCCTGTGGCTGCAGTGGCCTGGTGAGTGGGAGATGAGCGCGGTGACTGATGCACCACGTTGTTGAGCGCATTGGGCCACATTGCAGCTGCTCAGAGTGACTGGGATGATTGGTTTTGGTCCCTTTCACAGTCTTGCTTTCTGACTCCACCTCTCCTTGGGTCAGCTGTACGTTTTAGCGGCAGTGATGTCAGATTTAACTCCAGAGCATGAATAAATCTGCCCTAAATCAGCCACTTTGGAAGCCCTCTGGAAATACCTCTGCTCAGTACATGTTGAGGGCAGCATTTTACCTTACTACACTTGGCTCGTTTGTGTCTCTGGGCCGTGTACTGATTTATGGCTGGATATTGCAAAGCCAGGCGTTGTCAGAAGCTCTCTTTTATTTCTGTCGATCTTCTGCTCAGAAAGCTGTATGCATAACCTCAGTGCTGGCTCTGCAGGCTCTTACTTCCACGTCATTGGGGTCCTGCATTGATTTTTGTGTTGTTCTGTGCAGGACTGGCCTGTACAAGTTGTGCCATCACACTGAGCTGTTTTGCCCTCAATGGAGGTGAAAAGCCAGCTTTTACAGACTGCTTTTCTGCTTAACAGTGAGAAGTGTATTGCTTTGGTTTTGGTCTTCCTCCCCTGCCCCCAGGGGGAGGATGGTTCTCCCCAGGACCGACAGCTTTTGCTGCCTTTTTCAGTGTTTTGCATTTCACACCTTTGCTGTGTGATTGATTTACAGTTGATCCTACCCTCTGTACTCACTCCTGGCTGCTGCCTTTGCCGCATCTCTGGAGCAGGCACTCAACTGCATTGCTGTCAGCTGAGATTGATGGACCTTTTTGGACATCCAATAATATTACCATAAAGAACTTCCAATTTTCAACCACATTTTCTCTGTCTTAATTCATCTTTCTCGCTTGTGAAAGCCCTGGATGATTTTGGGAGTATGGAGGAAAACGTGTGAGGAGGATGGGAATGATTGCGAAGGCAGGTCAAGGCTGATTTGCTCTGTTTAGGGGCTATTAATTGCACATTCCATTCCGTAATGAGAAGAGGGAATGAATAATAAAATATCTGGTGATACAATGTGATTGACCCATTTTGAGATAGCAGCTACATGTCCATGAGGAGGTTGTGCAGTAATTATTGCTGAAGATTGTTCTCTTCATCTGCTCTTTCATCTCAGCCTCCCAGCCTTACCCACTGAGCACCTTCTCCTCCACTTGCAGCGTTTGGATTTGTCTTCCAGCTCTGTCACCAGAATCTAAAAGCATTGCAAGAGTTGTTTTTGTTAATTTGTGCTTTCTTCTGACTTCCTGTGATGTTCCAAGCGGTGGGATTTTCCTTCTTTTTCATTATTGTGTGATACAATAACTCTCATCCTGAAGTTCAGCCTATTTTTCACTTAGTTTTGTCTGTTGCTTCTACTTATAACTTTTCCTGTCAGCTGTTCTGGTTGTTTATGACTTTAAGTAATGTCCCAGACTCTTTAAAATCTCCAGTTTGTACAGTCTAAGCTCTTGTTACGTATTTACTTCATCTGATTTTGTACAACTGAACCAGCAATTATTTTATCATTGCATTGTGTGTTGGAATTTATTAATAACCAGTCTTGAAAACAGGAAGCCCAGAACAAGTGGTGGGATGGTGCACTTGGAAACGGAGCTGCACCTGGTCTTGTCTGCTGTACTTAAAATCCGTCTTTTGCCACCACAGCACTTTTCTTGGTAAATCGAATCTGCTGATGTTATCCCACAGCTTTGGGGTGCATTGGTTTCTGCCTTCTCTTGCGGCGAGTTAAGAGTTTATTTATGTACTTTAGGTTGGATGTTAGGAGGAAGTTTTTCATACACAGGGTGGTGAGGCACTGGAGCAGGTTGCCCAAGGAGGCTGTGGATGCCCCATCCCTGCAGGCATTCAAGGCCAGGCTGGATGTGGCTCTGGGCAGCCTGGGCTGCTGGTTGGTGACCTGCACACAGCAGGGGGTTGAAATGAGATGATCATTGTGCTGCTTTGTAACCCAGGCCACTCTAGGATTCTATGATACTTTGTTTAGATTCTTTTCTCCCATGAGTTTCTGGTTCTCAATTTCCAAGATAACAACACACTGTTTCCTTCATCTGCTCCTAAAGAATGGACCCTTGCTTTCCTCACCCATCTTTCCTGGCCCACCACACCTTCTCTGCCATCTCTGATGCTTGCATCTGCCCATAACTTAGTCTCCCTGGAAGCTGTTACCATAATACATAGGTATCCAGAGAAGGGCAACGAAACTGGTGAGGGATCTGGAGCACAAGTCTTATGAGGAGCGGCTGAGGGAGCTGGGATTGTTCAGTGTGGAGAAGAGGAGGCTCAGGGGAGACCTCATTGCACTGTACAACTTCCTGAAGAGAGCTGTGGTGCAAAAGGGTCTGGCCTCTTCTCTCAGGCAAATAGTAGGACCCAAGGAAATGGCAAGAAGTTGTACCAGAGGAGGTTTAGGTTGGGTATTAGGAGAAACTTTTTCTCTCAAAGGGTGGTCAGGCACTGGAATGGCTGCCCAGGGAGGTGGTGGAGTCGCCGTCCCTGGTAGTGTTCAAGAGGCGCCTGGATGAGGAGGTACGAGATCCGGTTTAGTAGCTTGTGGCACTGGTAGGAATGGGAGGGTGGTTGGACTGGATGATCTTGCAGGTCGTTTCCAACCTTGTGATTCTGTGATTCTGTGATCCTCTTCAGTCATCACTGTATGTTAAGCACAGCCATATGAGAACCATAAGGTGAGGGTCAAGTTGCTTTGAAGGGCTAAAAGAGAGTCTGCAAGACTAGGTTACTCCATGGAGGAATGCATGAAGGCAGAGTGAGCTCCGAATTAAAAATGCTGGGGACATTCAGCATTTCCTCTGCATGAGTGGGCTGCTCCTGGCACAGCACTGGGGGTTGGGACTGCCCATGTTGACCTGCCTGGTCCAGTTCTGTGCTCCTGTTCAGTGATTCACACAGAATCACAAAACGGCCAGGGTTGGAAGGGACCACAAGGATCACGAAGCTCCAACCCCCTGCCACAGGCAGGGCCACCAACCTCCACGTTTCATAACAGCTCAGGCTGCCCAGGGCCCCATTCAGCCTGGCCTTGCACACCTCCAGGGATGGACGGGGCATCACAGCCTCTCTGGGCAGCTGTTCCAGCACCTCACCACTCTCTCTGTAAAGAGAGATTCAGGCTGTTTTCAACTGCTACTGTTGTTTGTGTTGTTTAAGGTTATTTTCAGTATTGGCAGGTGGTTTTATTACTTTTGTCTAGTTAAATTTTTATTATTTACCCAATGTGACAGTCACTTTAAAGAAACTGCATTAAGCAAAAGTACCTTTTATTAAGTTCTAGTTGTTAGAAGTGAGTGCTTGAAAATTAGAACTCATTTTTTCCCTGTTTTCCCCCTATTCAGGGAGTGTTTGAAGAGGAGCCCACGGAGCCCAAAAGCAGAGGGCTCCGATTCGGTGACATCTCAGTCCTCACCCAGTGAAGAGGCTGGAATGATGACTGAGGTGAAGGTGAAAACAGAGGTACCAGATGACTACATCGAAGAGGTGATCTGGCAGGATGACACCAAAGATTCCAAGAAGAACATAAAAGACGGGCCGGGAGATGTGCCAGCCGAGATCTGCGTGGTGATCGGAGGGGTCCGCAACCAGCAGACGCTCGGTAAGCTGCGGGTCCGTGCGTCCCATCCCTCAGTGCCCCGAGCCCTGGTGTGGGGGCAGGAAAGGTGCTCTGGAGAGCTGCTCTGGGAGGCTCTGCTGGATGCGCTGGAGCCAAGGGGCGCTGCAGTTCCTGGCTCAGGATGGTTGACTTTATTTAAATTATTGCTTTCTTTTGGTGTCTGATCACCACTAAGGACTCAGCCATGATAAGGATCACTGTAAGAAAGATAATGGTGTCATTTGATGTGTTAAATCACTTGTCCATCAGTTGAATAAAATTCATGGTGAAGCCAGGGCTGCTGCCAGGTATGTTGGTCACAGGTGAGGAGGAAAGCAGGAGAGGAAGTTGGAATATTTCGAGGAGAGTTGCCCTGAGGCAACAAATGCTTCCTGTAAATAATAAGATTTAGATTAAAAACAGTTTCTGCAGTTTGCTGTTCATTTGTTTGCTTTTCTTGTAACCTTGTGGGAATGATTTCAGCTGTTAGCTGGCTGTGGTGCACCACTTCCAAAACAGTAAAGCAGAACTTCCTGTCCTCACCCCACCTATGGCTGTGATGAGAAGAATCCTTTTCTTCTCCCTGTGATCATCACACTGTCCTCTCCCACTGCACTGGGAATGTCTGGAGTCCTGGAAGAGGCTCTGCTCCTGCTGAAAGGTTTCTTCCTCTGGCTGTGATGTAGAGCAGATCCCAGCCATTGAGAGCAGAGGCAGCTGCTGATACAAAGAAGAGGGAGGTCAGACCAGGTTTCCTTCAAGGGAGGAAGCTGACTTGAGCTGCCTGGTGTTGCTGTTGTGGTTGGTTTGTCTTGCAGAGGGAGGGAAAAGAGGCATTGATGGTAGATTTTCTCCTGGTTTTTGCTTGATCACTGTTGTTAGAAAAAAACCCTGGAGAGTGTCGTTAGCTGGGGATTATCTTGTGAGAGTCCTTGTCCCTGTCTTCCCTTTTCCAGTAGGACAGCTGTTTAGAATGGAAGAGCAGGAGGTCACTGCTGGTTATGCAGGATCAGCCTTTAAGGAAGGCCTAAGAAGCCTGAAATCGGCTCCAACTTAGAAGTCTTCTAATGTGGAGGGAACACTCTGTGTACTTTCAGGTCTTTTTGTGCCCTCACAGCTCTTGAGAAGCTGAAGCCTGATGGGCCACCCTGAAGCACAGGAGTGTTCCCAGCGCCCCAAGCCACTGAGCAGAGGCAGCAGGAACTTCTCTCCCAGCTGCATGGAACTGGGTGTCTGTCACACCTTGTCCCCACTCTGCTGGCTGGGCTCTGCAGGTGGTGTCCTCAGAGGATGTGGTTTTCAGCTGAGGTTGTACAAAGCAGGGAGTGGATTTTTGCTGTTGGCTAGTCTGGATGCACACAGCACACCCCGACTGATGGGGATGGGGATGGGCTGGGGATGATTTCCCTCCCCATGGGGTGAGGGATGGGGGGTTATTTGTTGGTTAGCAAGTGGTGGTTGAAAGCCCAGAAAGTAAACTGGAGAGCTACTCTTTGGAAGTGCTTCTTGAAATGGTGTGTGTGTGAAATGAAGTATTTGTTATTTTATAGCCTCACGCTGGGCTTCTTTAAAGGCAACTCGGTCCTGAGGCCATTGGCAGTCAGCAGCCAATCCCTTTGTGCAAGGAGCATCCTAAGTGCCCCCATTCATCCAGCCCTTCACATAATTCTCGTCTGTTGGGGAGGTGACTGAATAACTTTTCTGTTTGGCCACCAAATACTTGTGCTGTGTTGACCAACCCTGGTGTCCAGATACCAATTCCTTCTGGTTTCTTGGAGCTGGCTCCCAGTCAATTCTTCTGGTCCTCTCCATCCCCCAAAGAAACCGTAGACAGGCACTATTTCCATGGCCACTGACATCTGTGGAGCTCACAGGAGAAATGTCCCATGCCTGCTGCTTTGCTGGTGATTTTGGCTGCTGCTTACGGGCAGCCTATGATCACAGAGAGCTGAGGATGCTGGTGTTCCCCGCTGCCAAGCAAAGGCTCTGCATGCTCACTGGTCCTTGCAGGAGATATTCTCCTGCAGTAGTTGTTGTGATGTGATCTGGTAGTCCTGGGTCGAAATCACTTCAGCTGTGGAGAAGGGCAGCACTTTGGTAGGATTGTCCACCCTTTCATCGGGGAAACTGAGAGTTCAGGTGTTGAAGATGGTTATTTTCGATAGAAATTCATGGCGTAGGATGAAGCAGAGAGTCAGAGCCCCTCCATCCTCTGGAAGTGCCCCTCAGGCCGTGTCCTCGTGGTGCTGTGAGGACAGGCAGCCGAGCACAAGTGGCTTTGGTGACAGACAGCAGATTCCCTGGGGGCTCAGTGGTGGGGCTGCACTGTGTCATGCACTGCAGGGTTTGTGCCTTTGTTTTGAGCTGCACATCTCCTGTAGGCTTCTGCTGTCTTCATGGTCTTGTCTGCTCCTACCAGGAGTTTATAAGGGAGATTCCCAGCTCAGCTGCTGCTGCTCTCTTGCAGTGTTCTGATCAACTGAGGCCTCATGCATCCATCTCCTGCCTGGCTGCAGGGTCCCGTGTCTCTCCCTGAGCTCTGCACTACTCCAGTCTCTGTTCCAAGGTTTGCGGTGGCTGCACAAGAGGTTCACAGCCTGGCTGAAGGCGCAGTGCTGATGTTTGTGCTTTTGGATTGCTTGCTTTTCGTCTGCTTTTCCACAGAAATCTCACAAGCCCCAGGAGTTCCCCCTTGGGGCACCCCAAGCAAAGGAAGCCAGATGGGCCCTCTGCTCCCCGTACCAGGCCGTGGCCCTGTGCCTCCACGTTTCTGCTCCCAGCCCAGTCAGCAGCCCTGCTGCTCCCTTCCTGTCATGCTCTTCATAGCTCCACGTGCTGACCTCAGCCAGGGCCACTCAAATAGCCGCAGCACATCAGCATTTGGCAGGGCAGGGCTGGGAGGGCAGGGAGGCTGAGAAGTTCACCTCAGAGCCATCTAAATTACAGGGGAAAATTAAGAGGTATTGACGTTTCAAATCAAGAGAAGGGGTGGGCTGCTGGCCAGGTGTTGGGTCACTGTGTGACACTGGGGATACCTGAGCATTGGTGTTTTGGAGGGCTGTTTGGAGTTACCTGTGAGATGATGAGGAGAAGCTTTATACAAGGCTGTTGAAGCTCTCAGCATGGTCCCTGCTTTACAAGAAGTATTTTGGAGAGGATTTTTCAAGTAAAATCAGAAGCGCTTCTGAGACAGAGTAAAGAGTCAATCCTTCTGGTTTGGGAGTGTCAATCTAACATACATGTGCTTGATTTGTGCCATGACACTGATCTCTCACGTGTTGAGCTGCTCAGGGCATGTAATTCCTGAGCACTTTGGATTCTCCCTGGTTAAACCCACAAAATAGTGCTGCAAAAACTTAACCTCTGTGCAGCCTCTGACAGTTTGTTACTAAGCCACAGGGACAGATGGGTCTCGGAAATTTTTGATAGGCATCGGCCACCCTTATCCTTTGGAAGTGATCCACTTTAAGGGCTCCTTTCTGATTTATTTTTTCTGCACAATTTAGATGGAAAAGCAGTGGAACGTGGCTCTCCCGTTGGATATACACGAAATCGATATTCAGGGACCTGGATTTTTGACCATGCATTGAGATACACGTCTGGTATGTGATGGAAGGGTGTGAAAGTCTAATCAGGGAGCAAGAGAAGGCTCTGAATGCCCCGGGTGTGTGCCCAAATTCCAGCTGCAAGGCTCAGCAGGAGCCTGGCCAAGCTGAATGCACCAACTAACCCAAATCTTTCCCCATCTCCACTCCTGCAAACAGCTTTAACCTGCATGACGCATCCCAAGGCTGGCAGAGCCCACTACAAACAGTGACTGCAGAGGCAGCGTCAAAGGCAACACAGGCATGTTCTCTGTAAGACCTTACCAAGTGATGCCTTTTCCTTTGCTTTACCTTCCCTTCACTCTGACATGTTATTGTGGCAAATCGTCCCTCCTTTCTCTCGTTCTGGGACCTGTGCCTCTGCCCCCGCCTGGGTGGCTGCTGGATTTTCTCCCTGTCCCCACGTGGGTCATCCTGCTGCGCCATCTGCATGCAGGAGGTGGGGAGAGGTCCGCTGGAGGAGCTGACTGCAGCTTCCCCCACACTGCACGTGAGACCTGGGTAGTTTTGGGGGGATGATATGTGGCCGTGGGACATGCTGGGCCACCTCCTGTCCTTACTTCCCAGGCAGAGTCCCTTGTGCATTTTGGTTTGTGTCAGGGAGGGAGAGCACTGCAGTCACTTGTATGGGGGTATATTTTCTTGAAGAACCTCTGCAGAAGCAAATGCATGTATGTGCTGTAGACTATCTGCAGAGGAAGGGAGGAATGCAAGAAACGCAGGGAAAAAAGGTCAGCCTAGAGCCCCTCACTGCTTTTTATTTTCTTTTTTTTTCCCCAGTGCTCTGTATGTGCACAGTGCTGCTTTAGGGGTGCAGGTGGGCGTCAGTCTCATTTTGCTGTTGGTACAGCTGAACCTCAGCTATTGTGCAGAGTTCAGGATTGGTAGGGCCTAAGTGAGAGGAGTGTGCTCATCTTGTGGCTGCGCTTTCTTTGGGGCTCCAGCTGGAAGAGTTTGCAGAAGAGAACTGTGAAGGTTGGTGATTAACATCATCAGTCCTCAAGCATGGAAGATAGGTCTGGCAGATGCTGTTGACTTGCTGATATCCTGGATTTCACTCAGGAAAACCCTTGCAGAGTGACCACTGTTGATGACTGGCGATGACACCATCCAGGTGTATCTGTATGCATGAAACGCAGCTGGCTGTGATAACTAGGAGGCTGTGGAGCAGTTGAGACATGGTGAGCTGGCTGCAGGAGGGGTGTGGTAGAATATTTTGTCAGGTGTGTGCTCCTGTGTATCAGACTGTAGCCAGTTGCCTGTTCGAGCATCACTCCTCGTAAGCTCAAAGGACAGTCTGAAGTGATGCTGGCATGCTGGACAGGGAATTCTGTGCTCTCTGAGTTGGAAGGAGGGTTGTTTTCTTCCCAAGCTGTAAGCAACGGGACATGGGAAAAAAAGAATGTGAGCGTAGTGTGTTCAGAAAACACTCTTGATTTTGTTCCTTTGTCTCAAGTGGCACTGGTAAGTACTGCTGTGAGATGGTGCTTGGGAGCGTTTGTTTGCATGTGGGTGTGAATCTGTGGGTCATCTCTGAGTTTTGCTGTTTCCCATGGTCAGGAAAAGGCTGTTCTGAGGTTGCATGCGTGTCCATGGAAGGAAGCTGTGCTCGTACTGAGTGGCAGCTCAGCCCTGCTTTGTCCCAGCGCCCCTTGCAGGAGGTGCTGCCCTTGCTCTGTGGGTGAGGACATGCAGGATCGGTTTCTCGCCCACTGATGGACAGCTGACAAATGCAACACATTTTGCAAGTGAGGGCTTGAAAGGCTGATTTATAACCTGTTTGCCAAGAAAGGTTGAATTGTCTTAAATGATAAATCTGAGGAAATTTGTGTCTGCCTGTCTGATAAACAGAAGAGACTGAATTCATTGCGTGATTTCATCATTACAAATGATTCTCCCAGCTCTGTTCCTCTGGTTTCATTTCAAATGACTGTTTGCAGATGTGTGTTTTCTGGAATTAGATACACAAATTGAGAAGAGAGACTGTTGTGGTCATGTGATTTTCCTTAAAAAGGTCAGAAGTTCTATTTGTATCTATTTGGTTTCCTCTGGGTGGATATTTACCAAATCTCCATGGGTTTCCTGAGAAATTTGTGCATTGTACATTTCTTGAGAAATTTTGAAAACTGCTTGCCTGAAGATAACACGCTGCCTTCTTTTTTCAGTCGGAAAGCTCTTTTTCCCATATACTGGGAACTTACTGAAAAGTAATTCAAGGTTATTTCTGTCCATAGGAAATATTAGTCATTATTATAAAATTATAAGTCGTGCTATTTTGAGAGAGGTCCTTTCATGTTAGCAAATTTATAAAGTTGTACTGAAAATGTGAGTTCGGGGTAATGTGCCATGGAATCTTAAATAAGGCTGAAAAAAGCATCGAGTCTGGGATAGTGATTTCCTGCACTTATCTCCGTGAACCTTCCAAAAATTACTTTGCTGCAAACTGCATTCTTTTGTCCCTGGTTTATGGATAAGTAAATTGTGAGGCTTTTTTTCCTGATCTAATATGGTGACGTATACCTTTCTGTCTTGTTTTTTTTCAGGGTCTTATGAGTGTGGAATATGTGGGAAGAAATACAAGTATTACAACTGTTTCCAGACCCATGTGCGAGCGCATAGAGGTATCTCTCTCCTGCTCAAATATTTGGGAATCCTGGGGTAACATTTAGGCTCAGAGAGTGTCTCTGAGTAGGCCTTGAAGGTTGCTCTTTGCTTCTCTGTTGGGTGGCCTGTGCACGGGCTGAGCTTGGTGACTGGCTGAACGCTGCAGCTTTACGCTCCAGCAGTGAAATTGTGATCAGCTGCTGTGCTGGGAGCACTGGGGTAGCCACAGCATTTACTGCATGGGGCTCTTTGGGGCAGTGTGTGCCAGCTGTGTGCTGGCAGAGCTGTAGATCACAAGGCTCTCCCATGAGACAAACTCCCATGCCAGCCCCAGGGGTGGGCATCTGCCTGAGGTGTTCTGGTCCATCCCTGCAATGCATGAATGGAGGACAGTGACAGTCCAAAGCAAACTTCAGGCCTTCAGGATGTTCATACAGGCTCAGAAGGTTGCTTTTCTTTATAAAAGAGGATTACACGTGGTAAAACACATGAGGTGCTGATTCAATTGCTGTTTCTGGATGCCCATAGCACAGGTTACTAAGTTGGGTATCTCGCTTTGTTAGGCAATGGTGATGCCCCTGTGTTTTCATATACACATCAAAATGATGCTTGAAATCACCCCCGTGGTCTTGCTGAGGTCCAAATGTGTTGTTTGCATGAAATGTCTTATGCTCAGTCAGAAGGGATTTTTATTTTATTTAAATTCTCTGTAAGCCTGGCCAATCTCAAGTTATTTAATTGCAGAGGTGGGAAAGTCTTGCTTGACTGTTTCATAGGCACTTGCAGCTACATCGGTGTTTTTACATCAGTGAAAAGTGGAACTTCTCAGTGTTTGTATTTTCTTTCACCCGAGTTGAGCAGTGTGTGTGTGTGTCAGATTTGTAGGAGCATCTGTTGTCACTAGCAATATCACTGCATTTGGTCTTCCATTAAACGATTGACTGGAATGTCTGGAGGAGTGCAAGGGGATCTCCCAGTGAAAACTGAAAATCCAGGAATAATGAATGCTAAGTATTACTTTCGGTGTGTTTAAACTCTCAGAAGTCAGTAACTGTACAGCTGAAAAGCAAACATGCACCCATGACTTGTCAGTGTTCCATCACATAATACATCCTTCAATTGCTTGGTTGTGTAGCCCTTGTGTGCTGTTTAACACCATAGAGCTTCTTCTCTGTCCTTAGATACATGCAGAATTGATTTTTAACTCTGGTTTTTCTTTCTGAATACCAAGAAAATTCCTAGAAGTCCTTTAAATACTGCTGCAAAGGAGCTCAGCAGTTGAAGAAAAAAATCCATAAAATAATAGAGCGCAGCAACTGTCCCACATAGCATGGGAGAAGATCAGGTTTGATACCATCTAAGGAACCTGAATGTGCAGAAGTCTGTGTGACCCAATGGGATGCATCCTAGGGTCCTGAGAGAACTGCTGGATGAATTGCTATGGCATCTCCATCACCTTTGAAAAGTCATGGCAGTCAGGTGAATGGAAAAGGAGAACCAGAACCCCCATTTTCAAAAGGGTAAGGAGGAGGACAAAGGGGACTGCAGGCTGGTCAGCCTCACCTCTGTGCCCTGTAAGAGGAGCAGATCCTCCTGGAAAGCATACTAATGCACGTGGAAAACAGGGGGGTTAATGGAGACATCTAACATAGCCTCACTAAGGGCACGTCATTTTGCCTGACAGAGGTGGTGGCATTCTGTGACGCAGTGACAGCAGTGGTGGACAAGGAAAGTGTAACTGGCATCATCTGCTTGGACTCATCCAAAACCTTTGATCGGTCCCACACACACATCTAAACTGGAGAGATGTGGATTTGATGGATGGACTATTCGATGGATGAGGAATTGGGTTGCCAGAGAGATCAGGACAGGTTGAGAGGAGGGCTTGTGCCAACCATATGAAGTTCAACAAGGTGAGGTGCAAGCCCTGCAGCCCCAGACATCAGCACAGGCTGGGCAGTGGCTGGGTTAGACAGCTTCCCTGCAGAGAAGGGCTCGGGGTTTCCAATGAATGAAAAGCTGAATGTGAGCCAGCAATGTGTGCTTGCAGCTAAGAAAGCCAGCTGTGTGCTGGATGGCATCAAAAGCAGCGCGGGCAGCAGGGCGAGGGAGGAGGGAGGAGAGGGTCCCCTCTGCTCTGCTCTCATGTGATCTCACATGCAGTGCTGCATTCAGCTCTGTGGCCCCCAGCACGACAAGGATGTGGACATGCTGAGGCAGAGGACTCTGCGAAGATGCTCAGAGGTCTGGAGCACTCTGTGGAGACAGGCTGAGGGCTGACTGAGACTAGAGAAGAGAATCTCACCTCATTGCAGCCTTCCAGTACTTACATGGAGCTACAGGAAGGATGGGAGGGACTCTGCCAGGGCTTGTAGTGATAGGACAGCAGTTTCGTACTAAAGAGAGTACATTTAGATAAGATGTTGGGAGGAAATTCTTTCCTCAGAGGGCGGTGAGGCCCCAGCACTGTGCCCAGAGCTGTGCTGCCCCATCCCTGGAGGTGCCCCAGGCCATGGATGGGCCCTGGGCATCCTGAGCTGGGGGACAGCCAGCCCATGGCAGGGGTGGGGATGGGGGCTGTGAGGGCCCTTCAACCCAACTGTGCTGTGAGTCTGTTATTCTGTGATGTATTCATACAGAGGACTTCACTGTTGTTCCGCAGCACTGCAGTAATTTTGCAATAACAATTGCAATATTTAGATTTGAGGCAAGAATTGCTTTTATTTCACTTCTTTCCACCAAGTACCGTGGGGTCCTTACTTCAACAGGAGTTTGTAGGAGCTGTATTGCTGTGAGGTCACCTCCTGTTGTGTGGTTCAATTTATTTGGATTTATATGTTTATTTATATTGATTGTGAAATTAGGCTATGCATCATATGGTCTGGGTGCATCAACATGCACTCATCAAATTGATATCCATAGATTTCTCATGAACTCAGAGAAGACATCATTTTGCTTTCAAAGTCTTTTTAACGTGTAGCTATAGAAGATGGAACTTTTCAAAATTTTCTATGTGGAAATTCATTTGTAATTTTCATGTCAGCAATGGAGAAGCACAAGTTATATTTCTGAAACTTATAAAGTGTTGTTTTATGCTGCTGTAAATTGATGCATGCAGCAGTAACATTTAAAGTGCATTTAAATTGCCCTAAAACAATGAAAATCAAAATGAGATATTTATTCTTGTACACCAGTCAACAAGAAATCAAATTGAAAGCTTGATGCAACTCTGCAAATGTGATTCTTCCAGAAGCAGAGCCCGAGCTGGCTGGTAAAGCACTGCAGCAGTGTACCTGAATGCAGAGAAACAACACACCACTGAACGTGCACATAATGTGTACTGGGGAAAAAAAAGAGGCTTATGTAGAGCAAGGCCCTGTGTCCTGTTACCCAGTGAGAATCAGACACTGAGCTGTACCAGCAACAATGCTGGAAATAGCAGAAGACTGCAGGACTTTTGGTGAAAGATGCATATCTAAGGTTTTATATGGCTTGTATTGACCACCATAACAAACATGAGATAACCTGGTTGATCATACACTGAGGGTGCTGTGCTTCACTCTGCGTGTTCTCCCTGTGAATCTGCAGTCCATGTCTTGGATGAAGCCCTGAAGCACTGGCAGGGCAGCTCTCTGGGTCTGCTTGTCCCCAAGGCACTGCAGGTTGAGCTCCGTTTGCCTCTTACTTGCAGTTAGCAGCTGCCAGAAGGTTCCTTCCATCATTTCTTCTTGGCTGGATGAGGAAGGACCAAGAGCAGGACCTGGCATTCCCTCTATGTCTGATACTTGCTGTGAGCATCACTGCAGCCACCCATCAGTTACCTGAGGGTATGATGACAGGTCAGCTCACCAGCCCCGTGTCAAAGTAGCTGGAGTTACTCTTCCTCTCCTCAGCTGCTTTCTTTCAGGGTTTTTTGGTTCCTCTAGCAAAGTACCTCCTTTAGGTATACCTGTTACCTCTTGTAAAGCTTTGCTGCTTTTTGCTTTCTTGCGCTGTTCCTGTGTCGCTGACTGGACTTGGGGAGCTGTGGGTTGCTCCTGCAGATGGGCAGAGATGGTGATCAATGGCTACTTCTTGTCATGGGAGAGGGGAGAGGTCCAGACCTGATCAGTACAATTATTTTGGGGCAGAACAAATGAAAAAGCATTCCAATAGCCAGTCCTCAGTCAGTGGCACAAATTCTGTCCCCAGGAGGGGAAATGTGAAGGTTCCACATTGCCCCTGCTTTGCACTGGGATATTTCTGAGCTCGGTTGGGCACTGCCTGCTGTCCCGGAAGCAGCTGTAGCAGGGGAGCTGGGGGCTTGTGGCTGCTGCAGGCCTGAGGTCTTTCGCCCTTTCCCTTCTTGTCCTGACCCGTCAGCTCCTTGCTTTGCAAGACCCGGATTTCATGTCTCCTTTGAGCTCAGTTCCACATTCAGACTGTCACTCTGGTGACAGCTCTAAAGAGCAGAAATCATGTTCTTCATTATAGCAGTCGTTTTCAAGAGAAATTGCCTGGATTTTTTTGTATGTGCACCTGAGTCTCCGTGGCAGAGAAGCTATGCTGGAGGTGACTTCCTTTCCTCAGGCTGATTTGGTTTTTGTTGTCTGTGTTCAGGAACAGGTGGTTTCTTGTTGGATAAGTGGCATTCTCTTGTTCATTGAGCATTCCCCGTGGTGCTCAGCGTGGCTGGAGGAACTCAGCCACTTCGCAGTGCCCAGGGTGGGGAGAGCTCTTGCTGGGGAAGCACTGGCTTGCTGGGGTGAGCTCCCACTCTGCTTTGCTCTCAAAGCCCAGATGCAGGTGTTGGAACCCCCCGTAAAGCTTTCTGCCGAGTCAGAAATGTAGGTATGAAGCATCCTCACAGTTGGGCTACCTAGAAAGAGATGAAAAGCCTGTGTTCCTTATCCCATGCCTCCCCAAAACTGAAAAACAAACCCAACAAGTTGCGTTCTTGAGCTGAATGGCTCCTTTGTGAGCTGCTCTGCTCCTCTCCTGCTGCAGAGCTGGAGCTGCAGATTCTGCCTGTGCTGGTAGGAACCATCCAGGGCAAACACTGCGGCTTCGCCTACGGGAAGGCCGGCCTTAGACATGTACAGTGCTTTCTGTTGAGCTGCGTGGGGCTTTTCAAGTCATTAGGAGGTTTGGAGTCTCTTCAGGAATTAGTGAGCTCAGAAGTTTCATTTTGTACAGTTTGGTCAGGTTGGAGCAATGTGAGCAGCGAAACATTGCCGTGTTTTGAGTCAAGAAAGTTATTTCGCTTCTAGGTAACTCAAAAATGGCTGAAATTACTTTATTAGGCTTTAAAAAAAAGAAAAAAAAAGTAAATTTAAGAACGTCTGGGCTGAAGCCAAACAAGTGAAATTTTTACCCAGCAGAGAATTCTTCAGAAAGCAAATGAAAGCAAAAGGCCACGCTGGAGGTTAACCCTTGCAGGATGCATCGCCTCCACTCTGATAAAGGGTGGAAGCTCTCCATTTCCAGATGAACATTTCTGGGCTAAATAATGATTTTGTTGGGTTGTTTCTCCTCATTTTTTAGTGATGTAGTCTGGTTGCTGCGTTGCCCTGAGGAGGGGCTGGCCGGGAGAAGCTGTGTGCACCGCAGTACGGTTGGTGTCTTTAGATGATGTTCATTCCAATGGTCTGAGAACTTCTCAGAGCTTCTGGAGTTTTGCACTGATATTTTATGGGAAGGGTTTCTGCTCAGTTCCCAGAATATGACGAGGAAGATGCCTCATTCCGCTGTGAGTGTGGAAAAGAGTGTTCTTCCTATGTGCCTGTTTGTGGAGTCTGAGTTGGAGCAGTTCCATGAGATAAGAGTAGAAAATTAATGAAGAAATGACTGATCTTGAGCAGATGGTGTTTTTGTTCTGAAGAAACCTGGGTTTCACCTGCATGGTTACCTGCTGCTGAAAAGCCATGCCATATCTGGGGAGATATTTGCCCCCTGTGCCCAGCATCCCTAGTTTTAACTGTGTGCTTCCAGCTCTGCAGCAGATTTTAATTAGAGATACAGAGAGTTTCTTGTGACACAGGAGTTAACATTCTTGCTTTCCAGCTTTCCTGCTGATCTCACAATGTTTCAGCTTTCTCAGAATTTGCTCTTTTGTTTAAAGCTGTGATTACTTGGTCTGAGCCCAAAGGTGATTTAGAATGGGCTGGTAGGGGATTTTTAAGGTTTTTTCTTTATTTTATTTTATTCATTAAGACTTTATCTTATGACTAAGAGTAACAGCGTTTCTTAACACAGTTCAGATCTGCTCCTTAAGCCTTTGCGTGTTGCTTGATGTGTCGCTTGTTACATTTAACTATTTTTAAAATCTATGTAAATGACAGAAATGGTCTGGTGCATGCATAGCATGTATCTTTCCTGGTTTATTCACGTCGTTGCCTGTGAGCACTGGGACAGTATTTTGCAGAACTCCGTTGTGCCGCAGCTATCTGTTCCCTGAAGTGATAGCGGGGAATTCAAACAAGTAGCAGCTGAGGAAAAATGCATGGGTTGGACTTGTGAGGCTTTTTAATCTGGCCCCACTGTTTATAAAGTTGTGCCAAATTAATTGCATGGTGTTTAATCTCACTGCCTAGAAAAGTGATCGCATCGGGCAGGTTAACCAGAAGAAATGTATGAATTCACAAACGCGCAGGCATTTATTTTTCTTCTTTTCAAGAAACAAGAAGGAAATTAAACGCAAACTGTTCATTACTTAAACTTGCAAATTTAAAATTTAAAAATGCTGTGCCATTCCGCAGCTTCGGCTTTCAGAGCGATGTGAGCACGATTCCAAGAGACACACGGAATATTTGGAAATGTGGTTTTGTTAGTAGATAACTTGCAGTATCTGCAGCTTAGGATGAATATGACACACTTCAAAATGGCTTGGAAGTCCTCATCATTTACAACCCTTGACTTGTAATACTGGGTTTTGTTTTCCAGCTTGCAGCTTTGCCCGTTGTGTTCATTCAGGACTTGAATGCGGTCTTTGCTGTGTGCTGCTGGCGTTATTAGAGCAGAGGGAGCATACTGCCATGCGTTCACAGCAAGCCGGGGTGGAACGGCCCCAGGGAGCTTCCTGTGGCTGTGGCCCATCCCTGGCATAGGCTGTGCTGCTGTTGCAGGAGGGGGCACAGTCACTGGAGAGGTGGCAGCAGCCTGGGCCGCGTGTCTCCCATGGGAGCTGGGCTGGGCACAGCGCTGCCGTCTTGCTTTCATAGAATCCTAGAATGGCCTGGGTTGAAAAGGACCACAATGACCATCTTGTTTCAACCCCCTGCTGTGTGCAGGGTCGCCAACCACCAGACCGGGCTGCCCGGAAACGCACGAGGATTTCCTTCAGCATTAATTACAAAGGCACGCCGTGAGCAGCGCCGTGAGACGAGCCGGTCCCTGCAGCCCGTGCTGTACGGCCCTGCTGTGCCTGGGACGGGCAGGATGACGGAGCACGGGGTGCAGCGGAGCCGCGAGGGCTGTGATGGAGCTGCTGCCCGGCTGGGCGCGGAGGCGGCCGGTCCGAGCCCGCTGGGCTCCGTGCAGCGCATTGCTGGGCGCGGGGATCCCTTGCACGGCCCGGTGCAGGACAGCGATGCAGGCGTCGGACGCGGGGCAGAGTCCGCTGTCAGATCTAAGTGCAGCTCTTTCTCTTTGCAGACACTGAAGCTGCCTCAGGTGAAGGAGCCTCACAAGGCAGTAAGTACTCACGGCGCCGTGCGTGCGGAAGGGGGGAGCGGGGCCTGCCGTGTGCGAGCGCCGCGGGCGTTCTGCCCTCGCGGGAGCCGGGGCGGAGGCCGAGGGCCCCGCGGGCCCTTCCCGCAGCTGCGGCGCCGGGTTCGGCCGGCAGGGGGCGCCCCGCGCCGCGGACATGGCGGCGGGCGGGAGAGCAGGCGAGAGGGGGCGGCCGCGCCGCGCGCCTTCGGGTAGCGCTGAGCGTACGGGCCTCGCCGCACCGCCTCGGCCCCCCGACCGTCACGCGGCTTCCAGGCGGCCCGGATCCAGGCTTTGCTGTAGGGTCTTTGAACCTGGACCCCACGGTTTCGCTGAGGAAAGGCGGTGGTGGAGCGGGGACCTGGAGGCGTCGGGAGCGCGGAGCGAAGCGCGGGATGTGGGGGGGAGCGGGCAGGAGAGGGACAGGCGGTGTGAGGGGGAAAACCTTCCCCTAGCGGTGGGCAGCGGCAGAGGTCGTGCCCGCTCCGTCCTGGGAGGCTTTCGGTTAAGGCGCCGGGTGAGCGGCGTGGCCGCAGAGCCGGCTGGGTCAGACAGCTCTGTGGTCTGTGGTCCCGCTGGATGAGAGCTGCGGGTTTCGTTGGAAGGTAAGTGAGCAACCTCAGTGGGTACAGAGGCACCAAGCTGAGCCCGGCTGGATGAGGAAACAAGTTAGCTAATAGTAAAGAGCAGAAATAATGAACGAGAGCAGTCGTGCCACCTTGATCAAACTGCTGCCTGTTTGTCAGGCCGGTCCCGTGAGAAGTGCAGGAGAGATGGGGCGGCCTGCAGGACAGCCGTGCGGCCCAGCAGCTACACAGCCAGCAGCTGCCCACGGAAGGGCTCTGCAGATGGGCTCTCAGCTCACCCAGTGACACGGGTCTGCAGCTCCAGGCACAGACTGGAGGCTGCTTCGCAGGCTGTGCTGTCCGCTCTGGTGTCTCTCGCTCAGTAGCTGCCGTGCTGCCTGCTGGTATTTCTCTTACCTGAGCCTTTCCAGGCTCATCTCATGCTCACTTGCTTTGGATTTTGGCATGGAGCTGTCTATATCCTGAGCATGTTTGTTTGGGCATTATAAGCATCCTTTCTGTCTGAGCTTTGCATGTTTTGTTTTTTTGCTGTAAGTGAACTTTTTCTCTTCTTGCATGGTACAGGAGTGCTTTTGGCTGAGAAACAGAGGGCAAGACAAAGGGGAAAAGAGTGAGGGTTTGTGCCCCTGCTATGTGAGTAGACCCCGCACCATTTGAGCCATAGGAGGGCGTCTGTGACCAATACCTGCCTCTTCTGTTGTGGCTGCTGGCTGCAGCTCAGGGAACTGGAGAGAATGGGAAGTCAGGGGTGTGAAAAATCCCTGGGAGGGGGCAGGAGCAAGAAGCTGCTCTGTGAGCAGGGTCAGAGCAGCAGCCTTGGTAGCTGCAGAGGTGCAGCAGTGAGGACAGGGGCTGCCTTCCATCCTTCCTCGGGGCAGTACGACCCCTGCTATCCCCAGTGCAGGAGATGCGGGGCCCATTGTAAGCAGACACACTCGTTTCCCTCCCAAAATAGTCTCACATAGCTGAAGAGCTGGAGGCAAGAGCAGGCCACCAGAGCAGGGAGATGGTGAGTGGTGCCATTGCCCACCTCTGCAGAAGAGCTGCTGTGTGTGTCGCCTGTCTTACAGCTTTAATGTGGAACAGCTCAGCCAGCACTGCTGTTCCTAACTGCAGATGGTTTCCTGACGAAGTCACCTTCCTCTTTCCCTCCTTGAAATAATTCAGCTGTTTTCTTTCCTCCCTATGCCCTCTCCTCTGGGGCTGGATTCGGTCCCTGGCCTTGCCTTCTTGCCTCTGCATGGCTCTTCTTTGACTCAATGGTCCTCTTGTTTCCTTGTTCCGTTTGCTCCTCTTATATTTTAGGAATTTTTTATTTATCTTTCCTTTCCTGCTATTTTTGTTTTTCCTGCTGCTCCAGTGCCATTCCTCTGCAAGTCGATTTGGCTGTTTACACCCTTTCTATCACAGACATCTGTATTGTTCAAACCTTCCTTTGCTATTTTGATCTTGTTGGGAACTTCTAGATTCTTAGGCTCTGCAAGCGAGGTTTGCTGTCTTTTTCCAAAATTTCTTAGTATTTAACAGTTAAGGCAGGATCTTGTTCTCTCCAATGTGCTTCTCCATGGGTCTTTGGGGCATAGAGTGCATCCATTCAAAACTTACTGAAGAGGATCCCCCTTGTCCAGCAGCAGATCCTTGGCAGTGGTTCAGGTAGCTCAAACTGCAGGTTTTTGAGAGATGTTCACGTTTTCCCCATGGTGACTTTTTTGGAGGCAGCTGTTCCAGCCACAGCGGACACCTGAGGAATTTGGGGGCAGTGGGGACGCATCTCCAGTCTGCAGAGCACAGTATGTGGTTGTGTCCCACCCAGCCGTGGTGGCAGTCAGCTGTGCTGTGCTGCACTGCTAAACCCCAAGGGCAGGGAGAGCTCTTTGCTCTTGGGAAGCACCATCCCCACCCTGCTGTGCTGGGTTTGTGAGCTCTGCTTGTCTGTTGGATGGTGGTGGGTTTATGCAAGGGGCTGGAGGGCTGCGGGAGGAGCAGGCTGCTGCAGGCTGGGCTGGCTGCTCTGGGAAGAAGGAAGCTATGGAGTGAGCAGGGCCACGGCTGAGGCCACTTCTTTGTTTGCTGCTTAAAGAGGAGATGCTGGTGTTTAGACTTTCTAGGTGGGAAGGCGCTTAGAAGACTCCCTTGAGGAAAAGCTGTTGGTTATGTGCAGCTGTTGGGGTTTTTAGTCTATAGATTTCCTCTGGGACTCACTTTTCTTATTTGAACCCATTCTTTCCAGAGATCTGTGGTGCTGAGGAGAGAGAGTGCTCTTGGGGACGCGGTTGCATGGCATTGGGAGCTTCTTTTTAGCTTTGGCTCAAGGTCCAAGACCAGAATTCCCACATGTAGAGAGAAGAAAACAATACAACCCACAGTGCTAATGTGTTAATAGAGACTTGTCGAGCTGCCACCAAATTTGACTGATAGGGAAGAAGGAAGGAGAGAGGTTTTGTAAAGAAAGCCTTCTTTGATATTTCTTCGTGGACAAGGATGGCCAGTTTGACTGACTGTTCCCGTGGAAAGGCCTGGCAGTCATTTCTGAGATGTTTTCACATCTGTGTTATTTGCTCCAGACTTTTCAAAGTCCTCAGGAAGAAGGTGTTTGTACAAGATGTGCACCATCATTCTCCATGGAAATTCCATTCATGGTTAAGGGAGTTTGAAACTTTGTGAAAACAGTCTCCCTCCTGCTGCTCACATACCATGGGAAATTCTTGGCAACCTGAGAGATAGCTAAATAAAACCACTGGCAAGCAGAGGTCCCCAAACCCTTCCCAGCAGGGATGGTGCCAGCAGTGTGGCTCCAGGCAGCATCACCTTGGTGTGAGCAGGTGCTTTGCAGGTTGCCTTCAGTGCACATTTCACATTTTAGGGGCAAGAGTTAGGCTGTGACCGTTGTTGAATCAGTGACTGCTGAGTGCTTGCCTAGTGATTGCTGAGCCACTTCCCATCATTTATCAGCAGTCCCAGGTGAATGGAGACTTGCCAGTGTGACACCCAGCTACAAGAAGAGTTGGAAGGTGGATCCAGGAAAAAGCAGGATGTCAGCTTGACCTCGGTGTCAGAGAAGGTCATTGTGCAGATCATCTTGGGTGTGCTCATGCAGCGTGTGCAGGTCAACCAGGGGATCGGGCAGCATGGGCTCAGAAAGGCAGGTCCTGCCTGACTAACCTGATCTCCTTCTATGACTGGGTGACCCACCTAGTGGGTGTGGGAAGGGCTGTGGATACAGTCTACCTAGACTTTAGTAAAGCCTTTAACCGTGTCTCCCACAGCATTCTCCTGGAGAAGGTCTTGGGCAGGTCAGTGCTCTTTGCTGGTTGAAGAGCTGCCTGGAATGGCTGGGCCCAGAGAGTGCTTGTGAACGGAGTTACATCCAGCTGGTGACAGGTCAAGCGGTGCACATCAGGAATGGATACTGGGGTTGACCCTGTTTAACTTGTTAACTGGTGATCGGGACGAGGGAACTGAATGCACCCTCAGTGAGGGTGCAGGTGACATCACATCGGGGTGAACACTGATCTTCCTGAGGACAGGAAGGCCTGGCAGAGGAAGGCACAGGCTGATCAATGGGCTGAGACCAATGGGTCAGTGTGGGGAAGGGGAGCTCAGGGGAGATCTCAGTGCTCTCTGCAACTGCTGACAGGAGGTTGTGGTGAGGTGGGGTCAGCATCTGCTCCCAGGTAACAGCGATAGGACGAGATGATGGCCTCATGTTGTGCCGGGGGAGGTTCAGGTTGGGTATTAGGAAAATTTTCTTCTCATAAAGAGTGGTTGGGCATTGACCCAGGGAGTGGTGGAGTCACCGTCCCTGGAGGTGTTCAAGCACAGGGTGGATGTGACACTGATGGAGAAGAGTTGCACCTTTCCTGGAATTTTTAATAGTGATACTGTGAAAAGTGGGAAAAGTTAGAAAGAAGTGATTTGCAGAGCATGAATTTCATCTGTGGTGTGCTGATCGGTGTGGCTGAATCCAGGCAAGCCAGCTGATGACGTGGTTTGATCTGCTTTTTTGAGGGCCATGATGCCCAAGGTGTAGTAATTTAAAAGCAGGCGGTGCTCCCAGGCATGCAGGCTGCTCCGTGATGCAGGCACTGCCCCAGCCATGTACTCTGCAGAGTGCCAGGAAGTAACAGGGAAAGAAGTTCCTCTCAGAACTGTTTGTACAGTTCTGTTCAAACAGTTCCCTTGCTTTCCTTCCTGGCAATGTCACACTTTGTCACTGTGGCAAATCTGTGGCACTTACTGCAGGTTTGAAGACCGCTAATGGTCATTTCTGGCAAATCCTGTTCTTTCTGTCTCCATCCTCAACTTCTGTTTACATGTAGTGCCGGATAAGAGGCTAAGCCGAATTTCGAGCAGTTTCTCAAGAGCAGATGCTTACAGCAGGTGCTTCTGCCGCCTGCA